TAGAAACAAAAGGAAAATAATTAAGAAATCATTCTACTTTTCCTTTGCTTATTTTGGCCGTTTTGATAAACAAATTTATTCCCAGTAGAGTACCATGCATAATAATAAGGTTATTATTCATTTATCCAAAAAAATTCAGAATTTCTATACACTCAAGAAATCAGTCATCAAATGGGTACTTTAAAAATCAAGAAAACTGTACACTCAAAGACAAAAATAATTTCAAAAAACAACCAATTCTCAAGCACAATACCCCTCAAAAGTCTAAAATGCATAATTAGCAAAAATTGCCCACCTGGTTGGGTATCTTGAACCCTATAAAAACAAAATCCTAGAAACAGAACATGCAAGAAATCACAAAAAGAGCAGGTCTCAAACACTTGTGCTCAGCAAAATTTGTGAAATTCCTTCAAAGATAGCACATTAGTGACAAATTCACCAACTTGAAGATGTCAAATCTCAAATATTGTGTGAACATCAGTAGAAAGTGAATTGGACAAAGAAAAGTTGGGGGCTTACCAATGGGGCTTGAACTCTAAACTCTCTTTGAGAGCATTAGGGGATTGTCACAGAACAGATTGGTCCATCTTAGAAACATAGAGAGAATCAAAATCGAAGCTTGAAAAAGGAAAAAAAAAAAAAAAGGGGATACTTAGGACAGTGCTTGAAAATCAAAGAAACACCTTTATGTGCAAAAGGGGATACCATATTCTGAACACATCAAAACAGGAAGGATCCTTGAAGGTGACATGTTGCTAATGTTTGAAGAACTCATGCTAAACTTCGAAAACCTCACATTCAGATAACGAAGACATTGTAGGCCCCAGTGTCTCTGTGCTAGAAAAACTAATGAGCTGTTGTAGCGTCTGAAGATCCCAAGTAAATACAATTCTTGAAGAGCAAAAAATAGAATAAAAAAAAAATCAGTACTAAAATATAAGAATCATCTCATCACACTGTCTTTTAAATTTTTTTGAAAACGAATAAAGGAATTAAGCCCAAAAAAAAAATAAAAAACCCAGTGTAACTTGAGCAAACATGGACTTAGCAGTTAAATCTTGAACAACATAAATTTTCTCCTTCAGAACAGAAAATAGACCGTTAACATGTTCAGGCTCACAACCAACAAAAAAAGGATCACCACAATCATTGACATCAGCCACTTTTCCTCCCATTAACAACCATTTCTACAATGGAACAGTAATGCTTGCACTTATGGTTGAGAGGAGACACCACTATTTTCAACCAAAAGAGAAAGCACACATCTTAGCAAGCATCTTGAATCAACAGAAGGAATCCTAGTTGTCTCTTTAAAACAGAAGGCATACAAAATAAGAAGTAAAACAGGAAAAACAATCCAACTTAAATTTTAGCAGTTTATCCATTGAAAAATGAGCAAATTAAAAGATTACACTTCCTAAGAAGAGACGTTATACTTCTACAATGTCTAAGTCCATTAAAAAGAAATAATCATATAACTCAATTTTTTATTTTACAATTAAAGTAACAAAATTTACTTAATAAAATAAGCTATCTTCAGACAACACAGGTTCAGTACTTCAACCTCAGTATTTCTCACTTGAAGAAGAGGCAACATGCCGCTGCGTCATTTGCCCTTAGCATTGAGAGAACAAGATCCAGCACACAATTATTTACAACATTAGACCCCATATGAGAAATTAAAATGATATATGGCAGAACCCCCAAATTCACCCTCAAAAAATATCGGTAGGGACACATCCATCCCTAAAAAAAAAACAGGGACAAATTGCCCCTCCAAATCATAAATCAATACAAATCACCCCCTTTTCAATGTTTTCCGTTAAAAAATGCTGACATGGCAAACAGAATTCTGACGTTTTTTGTTGAAAAAGGAGTGACTTGTATTGATTTACGATTTGGAGGGGTATTTGTCCCTACTTTTTTTTGAGGGGTGGATGTGTCCCTACCGATATTTTTTGAGGGTGGATTTGAGGGTTTTGCCATGATATATTGACACATATGTTACCCGTATGTGTGATTTTTCTTTGCAATGGCTTCTGAACAACACACTCAACAGCAGAGAAATCCCATGACTACAAATGTTTTTGCTGAACTCCAGCTTCTTTGCACCATTTGCTTGGCTTCATAAATGAATTTTTGTTTGCCAGTCATTTGATCTTGCATTATAGAGTTTTCCAGGGAAGCCAGTATCAAACCCATGCAAAATCCAAATCCACCTCCTACAATCATTTCCAAAAAACACATGGGAAATCATCAAATGATTGGCTTTACTACAGAACCCCAAAAACCCTACGTGTTTCTCTGCAACATTGCAAGGTAATGTAATCAAACTAAAACAAATGTGCATTTGCTAAAAGAAAAGGGACAGCTTATTGCTGAAATCTTGAAATTTTAACAGATGCTCAGAGTAAGAGTACACACACACCCACAAAAAGAAGCAAAGATGAAAGCCACCATCTAACTCCAATTTCAGAGAAACAGATCATATCCTAATCATCCATTGCAGTGCTAGCCAGACCACTGTCTGAACCATCCAAACCTAATCATAAAGTAGATGTAATTACATTGACCACAATCATGCTTAAAATAATAAAAGATCACCATATATGGAGCATCCAAGATCATTCAAAAGATGAGAATAAATCACAAAGGAGAACCAAGCAGACTTCTAAAACTAAAAGTACCAGCCCTGTCATTTTTTATCAATCACAAAGAGCAATGTAAAATAACACACATGAGAAAGTCCATGTAAGGCCATAAACACTGATTAAGTTTCATTCTTGGTCCAACGGATAACATTTTTCCTTTATTTATATGTTGTTTTCTGCCCCAGGTTTTCAGTGCAAACATTCAATAATTTCCCACCAATTTCAATTAGATAACTGAAAATGAAAGACTTCGTCAGTAGAACTGCGGTTAGCACATAGCAAATCATATAGTTCAGTTCTTGGCATCACCACTAATTTTGCATGAAAACCTCATTTAACCAATAAAGCTGTGGTGAACCAATTAAATACTCACTGGTGATTGCCAACTGGTATCATTTAGACAAACTGACAACCAAAACAGTAATCAAGCACAGTCAATTTTGCATCCATTACACTCATCAAGGTCCAAATCTGTTAAAAAAAAAAAAAAAAGCTCACCAGCGGGGCATTTGTCAGTAACATGGGAAAAGGGTGGAGCAAGGAATCAGGGAAGCAAAGTGAGAGTGAGAATGATACCAAGTGCTATAAAAAAACACAGATGCAATAATTCAGAAACATAAATGGGGAGGAGTGGCTTGGGAAGTAAATGGAAAGAAAAATCAGATAGATTATAAAAAATATGGCACTTGAATTTAAGAGTGCATGTTTCTGCCTTTTTATCTTTAATTGTAATGGCCACTGTGAGTTCCAAAACATCTCTGCAGTTAAAGTCAACTTACAATTTTAATAAATAGCATACTTTCAACAGAGTATCTAAACTAACATCAATGACATGTTCAGTAGAAACATTCTCCACTGTAGAGATGATTTTAGTTATCATCCTCTCATTGGAATTTTCTTTTTATCTTTATCTTTTTAAGAGTAAATAGGTAAAATGAAGTAATTTCAATCTTCTATGTCAGTGCAATATTTGACCATTTGTCCACTATTATGGCGCTGGAGCTAGTTTTGTGGAAAGCAAGAGCAACACAGAAAAACTCACTTTACTGATGTTGACATAAACCCAATTAGAAAGGCATGCAGTTATTACCATGATCACACAACATAGAAAAACACGAGAAATTACGGAAAAATACCTCCTTTAACAGGAAAATTCAAAGCAGAAGGCCATTAACTTTGGACAATTGAAATTCCAAAGGAAAATTAATATTTGACTCAGAAGTTACGCAACAACAAATACTCAACAAACAAATTGCCAAGAAGAATACCTACCCATGCCTTAGTTACCCACATCCATTTCTCATGCAGACAACTCACCAAAACACAAAATGCATAAACCCACGAAAGCAAGGGCACCCTTGAGCAAAAAAAAGGGCAAAAAAGAGAGAAACTCACTTGAAAAATGGCATACAGACCTCTGCCAAAATCTATTCTCTTTGCCAGCCTCCGCCACACACCCATGTCACCCACTGAAACCGTTACGTCCCACGACTCCACCCTAATTCCTTAGTTGCCGTCGCAGATCTTCCTTCTCTCCTCTGATACACAATTTTCCTCCCCTTTTGTCACCTATTTCCTCTTCCCTGCTCTCCCTTGCTTTTCCTATCCCCACAGCTTGCCATCCTTCTCCATCCCATCACGTCGAATTCTTGCAAAAAATGCCGAGAACCAAGTAAATTTTCAAAGTGGCAGAGAAGAACGGAGAGCTAACGTTCGGTTGAGGAATAGGCTAGAGACAGGGCATGAAATGTCTAGGAACAGTGTAGGAAGCTTCAAGATGGTGTTGAAATCCCTAAAATAGACCAGTGAACAGTTTAAAAGGGAGGGATTTTTTCGTCACTAAGCTAACAGACGCCGTTACTTTCTCTTGAATTACGGTTGAAACACCGGAAGGACGATGAATACTTGCAGAGATGAAGGGCAGAAAAGGTATAACAGGAGTGGGGCCCAGTGAATAAACAAGCAACAGGTGAAGCCTTTTGTTAATTTTCGTGAAAAGTCAGCTTTGCCCATACAAAGGGGACTGTTAAAAGAGCAAAAAGTGATAGAAAAAGGCTGAAAGCTGAGCCCGAAATGCGCGAACAGTTTAGCAACAGTTTTGGACCTTTGGAACAGTGCGAAAAGGACATAAAACCCAGTTTAAATGGACACTGTTTAAGGGCTTTTTTGGGAGTAAACAGGACTGGGCTTTTACATTTTTTGGTTGATATATATATTTTGTATTTCTGCTAAAAAAAATTTATTCTTCCTTCTAACTGCAATCTCAATTCTTCTTTTTTCTGTTTTTTATTTAAAATTTATAGTCTTTTATATTCTCACTAACTTCCTATATGCATAGGGATGATGAAATGAATAAAGATACCAATGATCATATTAAACCAACAAATACTATTTAGACATAGAAGGAAAACTCACTCAGGTATTTAAACAAACATTTATTAGGCATTGCATTTAGAGCATGCAGAAAATTAGACACTGTTTCCAAAATCAGAAGCCAATACACAATAAAATCAATCAAGCATTGTTTCAAAGAAAAGTCAGTCAGAATTCTAAAATTATGCATGCCGCATTAAAACTAACGATAAGACCACTACTCTTAAATTGCAATGTTAAAACTAACAGGTGATAAACACCAATCCTTAATTCAAGATCGATTAAAAAGAATTTTATTGTTAGAAGGTTATAGCAACCTTGTACTGTGGGAGGGAGTAACACGTAGGGACCAAACTCAAGCAATCGAAACAGCTCAAAACCATAGAAAGTAAACAAAATTGCTAGCAATTCTTTTAAATTGCATTTAGAAACATGTATTTGTATTTAAAATATATATTTTAAATACATATATTTGAAACACATATATTTAAAATACATATATTTTAAAATACATTGTTTGGATTGAATAAAAAAAATAAATTTCAAATACATGCATTTTTAAATACATTATTTGAATATATATTAAAATACTATACATTTAAAATTGAATTTTTTCATTACATTGAATCTTTTTCTAATCATTATTTAAATTTAATAAGACTAAAGTTAACACTTTTAGTCTTCCAAAGCATTATGTCAATTATCTCAAGACAAACAAATTGGATAAAAAAAAAAAAAAAAATGATGTCCACTAATCAATTTTTACAAGGATGGATTTATCATGGAAGAATATCACTATAAAAAATAAAGGAATAAAGTAGCATCTAGAATGATTATCAACTATATCCATTAACAAGGTAAGTTTTCAGTAATCAATTCATGAGAATACCCAAATATATATAGTTTTGTAAATCGAAAAGTCATCATGATATCTAGTACCCTCTTCAATGGGAACATTAGAACTGGTTAAAAATTTGGCATAGCAAGAAATAAAGAGCTTCCTCTATTCATTTACAATCAAATTGCCTTTCATTGGCCCCTCCAAATATTGCCTACAACGCTGAAGAACAAGGTTAACTCAAAGCAATAACATTAAAATATATCCTTCGGACACACAAAAAGGTTACCAAATAACAATATGTCATAAGCTGAACTCAACTACCTGTTGTTTCCATAAATTGAACTTACTATAAAATCTTTAAAATCTAGTCCCAACCTCAAAAATAAGAGAAAAACTCAACAGACTAACATAAATCAACCTCAAGAATAAGAGAAAAACTCAACAAATTAACATAAATCTGTAAAAATTCCTTTTAGCATCAAACATATTTTGCATCTTGAGAATGCCAAATCTGTAACAAAAAAGCACAAGCACGGTAATTCTCATCTTCCTTTAATTGGAAAAGAAGACAACTATTCTCGAACACAACAATGAACTCATTCTCCATAATAGTTACACATGCCATCACGTAAGATATGAGTAAAGGACTGCTTCTAGAATCATACATGACAGGCCCCCTTAGCATCAAAATTTTATCCTCAAATCGTGATACTGTCATTTTTCATTTTTCCAGTGCATAAAGAAAGTAAGGAGCCACATCCACATGCACTGAGTTACAAGTTATGTTTTTCATTTGCATCACACATAAAGAAACACGTGATTATAACATGCACAGGATGGCATGGAGAAACTTTACATGAATAATAATATATTCTAAAAGAAAAATAAATAAATAAAGTCACATAGAGGTATAAAGATAAGACACAAAATGTGAAAGACGATAAGGTTTGCAAACAACAACAACAACAAAAGGAATTAAGAGGTATAAACATAATCTGGTAATATCTAAGCAACGTATTATGATTCACTTTCAACAAAAAAAATATCAATAATAAAAGAGCTGATATGGTTTCAGTTCCCTTTCTAGCAACAGTTGGTGATATAAGTGAAACTGCCTTTCTTTTAACAAGAGCTTCAAGACTAGGAGTGGAGACTCTCACAGTAAGAGCTCCTTATATATTCTAATTCAATCTTGGACATTAAGTCAGTGAATTTCTTTCTGACTAGGCTAAGACTTTCCTTTGCATTTCCCTGCTTACCGTTAGTTCTGCTTAGGAAGTATGCAAACAAACAATATCACAGATCTAGATGACTAATGCCTATTTCACAATTAATAAAAATTTCTTTCTGCCAATTAGTTTCCTTTTCCATTGTCAAAATATATACTAAACAAAAAGGTCGTCAGATAATTCAGTAATCAATAGTATAAGAAAAATGAAAATTTGAGGTAAAACAACAATACAGTACCAGAGATAGGATTCGTCCATCACCAGAGATAGTATATAGTTTATATATATAGAATCAAAAGTCAAGCAGATAACAAGAAGGAAACAAAAGAGAAATTGCTCCAAACCAATATTGCCAACAATTATATCATATGTACTCTAGCATCGCCTAACAAACAGATAGAAACCAATATTAAGTCAGTGGAGAATCTAACACCACCTAACAAATCACTGTAAAAATTCATCTGTTTAAGAATATACCCAACTGGAGATGGAGCAACAAATGACTGTGAGGATGCTGTGAGGCGGAGAAGAAGACTGAAGATCTGTCCCACCTTTGTGTTTACCCAAGAAAGGCAATTTGTGCCTGAAAACCAGAAGAAGAACTGTTTGGTCAAACCATATAAAAATGCCTTTATATCACTTAACAAGACCACGCATGTCAACTAGCAAATAAACAAAAGCTTTCAAAAGGATCTTTGAGAAGAAATTCACAGTATCTATTCATTAACATAAAGGGTTCCTTAATCTCCCATCATTGCTTCATCGGCATCTACACTAATCTGTAATCTACCAAAAATGGGATTGATTTTGCTAGGAAATTATACAAGAAAAAGAAAGAATATTAAGGAAAGAAAAGAGTAAGGAGATAAAAATCAAAATGCAAAACTACTGGGTTTTAAATCCAAAAAATTGGGCAACTACCCATGACAATCACCAGGGAATGGAAAAAATATCAAGAACAACAATAACAATAACAAGGACAACAAATCAATAGAAAGCAAACTGAAAGAAGGAAACCCAAATGAAAAGATTAGGGCTTAGATCTAGAACCTGCTGCTAAGAGAGATGGTGAAAACTCAGGGAAAGATGCGCGTAATTGTGGAGTAGTTTGAGTGGCCAACGACAAGAAGGTGAGAAACAGCGGCAGAGTCGACGATGAACGGAATTCACGACGGAGGCTTCATCGTCGTCGGTGTGCTGAGAGAGTGCAGAGCAAATTCACTCTACTTTGAAATTGAAATTCACGGCGTTCAGGTAGGAATTTGAAATATATGAATTTTATGTCTTTTAAATATATGGATCGAAATATACGTATTTTTTTAAAATTTAATTATATTATAGTTATGAAATATTATTTTACATCACAGATTATATAGAATTTATTTTATAAAATTATTTAAATATTTTTAAAAAATTAATATAAAACAGATTTTTAGAGCATTGAAGTAATTTTACAAGATAGATTATATTCAATTTACTTATAAAATGATTTTTTATTTTATTTATATGAAAATAAATAATATTATTAAATTTAAAAGGTTAAAATTTAAATACACTCTACCAAAATCAT